GGTTACCCTGGACCGCAAGCTGCTGCCTTAGGTCCTAGACTTTTCAGGTTGCTGCTAGACTTTTCATAAGAAATTGTAATTGTTCACCTATTGTGGTTGGAGCCCGTAATCTTGAAGAAAGTACTATTTCAGTTGCTAAAGCTCTTGCTCTTTGTGATAATTTTAAGAGGTGTGTGTTGAATTTTTTAACTTATCATTGATGTCATTTTGAACAATGGTAGTACACCTTGGCGACTGAGAACAGTTAAGGCGGAGTATGCTGAGAAAATGAAGAACAAGGTGGCGGAAATACACAAGGCAGGAGAAGAAATGAGAGCTTTCATTTAAGCAAAAAAAAGAGAGCAATCCCTCAAGGTGGAGGAGACAGTTACGAAGTCTGTTTGACTGAAAATACACCAAAGAAATTGTTGTTGGGGGCATTCTGCGGTTATATAATCAATCAACCACCAAAACAAATGGAGGGGCTTGCTTTCACACTTTGAATTGCAAAATCAAACACATGCAAAATAGTGACAAACATTGTATATAGTTTGCTATTCTATTATTTTAGAGATGTTAAGTATTTGGAAATATTGGCAATATGGATGTCACTTCTCCTACAACAAATCACATAAGATAAATATTAGTACATAGTAATTTACACTGGCACATTAATTAGATAAAATAAACAAATACAATAAAATACTTATCTTTTATATGTTAGAAACTGCTCTTTGTCGATGCTTGATTAGAACAAAATTTTAGGTTGAGGCAAGTATCACTATCCTTAAGAGTAGAATTCACCCCTCTAAGACAATGTCTCTGTGTAGCAAGTTATGACGCCCCAACCTCTAGGATCCAACAACCTATAATCCTCGTAAGTGTACACTCGCAATACTTTGATCTAGTGAACAACTCAATTCTTTTCTTTGGCATGTATGAGGTGGAAATTATTATAGCATTTGAGAGAATACAAGAGATTAAGAGAAGAGAGGACGGTGGAATTTCTTTCAACTAGCTTAGGTTTTTATGAAGGAAAAGCTATATATATAGGATCAACGTAGGTCATTTACTATGTATATAATTTTTGAGAGTCAAAGAAATTAATTGTCACATTAATAATCAAATAAAGAGAGGAAAGGTTGCAAAACTGCCAACGTCCCATTTCTTCTGAAATTATGAGTAATAATGCCAGCGTTATTGGCTAGAATTTCAATTTAATCAATCAATGGATTTGAAGGAAAATGAATTGTGATAATGAGCATGGTTTGTATTTTGAAATACCCTACAAAATTTCAACAATTCCCCACACAGTTCAGAATACAAATCGAATCACTAAAAGGGAATTTGAGTAGCACAAGTTTAAAGAGGACAAGGAAATACCAAAGGAAAGTGAGAATCTAACACATCGGAACTGGTGCCTTTTGGACTATAAACCAACCTTAGGACAAGCTAGCCGTAACTCACAGAAATTTGGTGAAAATTAAATTTTCTATGAACCAATATTTCTTTGCGTGAATCATAGGACTACCCATCCACATTGAATCCTTGGAATCGAGCATGTTCTAGCGGGTTGGCGCGAATAGGCCATGCGCCAACTCGAATGTTCATGAGTGCAGTAGAGAACCTACCTAAGTTCTCATAGGAAGCAGCCCCACTCATACACTCAAATAGGTGAATCCATCAAGTGTGCACTGCAGTCAAGCACACCACCCATATATAGGCTATGGTATTCATTAAGAACATAAGTTCAACCTTGGACGCTGCAATAGTTGCATTATCTACATTATAGGGATAGACTCTCAACAATAATAATATTACATATTAATTGATAATGCACGCCTAATCAACAAGTGACTTGTTCTTACCCATAGAACCTACTTCTTGGGATCTCCATTCACATAGGTTGGGTTACCATCACTCTTCATCGATTTTATAGGCATAAGTCTCATCCCCCTCAATGTAATAATCATCATTAGCATTTAGCTTAGTGGATTTGTCGGAGGATAGGCTAGATCTGATTTTTACCTCAAAATAATTATATCAAATACATTGCATAAGTCATTCAGCTTAAGCTCTCATAGCTATGAAAACCAACTAATTTCTTCCACAAATGGTGGGATATCTCAAACTAAATATAGTGGTCTCTCCCACAAATAGCAGGATATCTCAAACCAAACACATTAATCTCTTCCACAAGGGGATATCACGATTATAGATTCAAACAAAATTGGTTTCCTCCATATAAAATGGAATATAACAAAGAGGTTGTTAAGCCTCAAATAAATATCTTTTTCAAAGAGTGTCAAGTCATGTTCCAATTCAAAGTGAACCTGCATATCTATTTAAGATATCTCCAAAACATGATATTAGTACGTTTAATATTCACCACAAGCATCGTTGTACTGTAAACTAATGATTTCGAAATCGGCAACAAAGCAACTAGATATCAACAACACACTAAAAAACTAGATATCAACAACATACTGAAAAACTAATAATTTCGTTTCCAAAAGAAAAAAATTAAAAATTAAAAAATAATAAAAAAACCCTAATGATTTCGAAAATTGAGATTTGGAAACGATCATTTTGAACAATTTACGAAGGAAAATAATCCATTTTTGAAAGGGTGAGACTATTAATTAAAAAGAAAAGATGGAAATAAAGAGTGGAGCTATATTGAAATTTCTGACCTTTCTCCAAGCCATTTGCCATATTGAGCCATGTACTTCCTCAAGTCCAGTTCAAAGTTGGGCTTGTCTTCATCAAAGGTCTTCTGTACCTACCAAAAGACCAAACGCGAAGTTTCCTTAACTGCAAAATCCCACGTCCAACAATGGCTATTAGAGCGCGAGTGGTGCTCCCTTGCGCATCAAAACACAAAAGGCGAAAGTTTTAACCGCTCAATCGTGAAAAACAATGTGCGAGAGAACCTTATCGAAGAAAACGTCACCAATTTAGTGCAATGCCAAAAGAATGACGATGGTATTTGATTTTGCACTTGGTAGAAATAGCAATTGATATATTGTCGGTATTTGATTTTGTGATTTTACTTTTATTTTAGTTGAATAAATGACGATGTTGCTTTTACATTTCTTTTAGTTGAAACTTTGGTAATCATTTGTAATATTATTTCAACTTCGTATGGTTGAAACATTAGAAATTGTCTCCACATTGTTTTGTTACTTTTGTATGTATGATGATGTGTAAAATTGAATTTTAACTTGTGTTAACGTTGTTTGATTTAAAGTTTGCAAAATAAGATTGAACTCAATAAATTTGGACAAACTTGAACCCAAGTAAACTCAAGCTCAATTAAAACCGGACCTTAATAAACATGCATGAACTCAAACCAATCCAAACTCAAATTATGAATGTTAAGTTAGAATTAGGTTGACCAGTTAACTCGTCCAATCCGCCCAGCACCCCTAATTCGTATTGATGTGGATACCTTCCCGTAACCTGAGCCCAATAGAACTTCTCATTTTTGTGTTGGTTCCTTCCTAAAACTTGGGCCAGACAATTCATATCCAATAGCCCGAAACTCCGAGAGCAATGGATATTGCTTGACTTCTTTAATGGAAGTTGGAATTCTAAATTTCTACCAATCCTAGTTGACATGCATAAATCGTTAAAATACAAAAGAAAAACTTACGATACACATGCATAATATGTGATTGCAGAAATGAAGGAGAATTATCTTCCCTCTTAATCTCTCTCTTTCATTCTTTTTCATCCTACTTGAACGATTATGGTTAAGCCACATCAACATATTATATTAATTTTTTATAAAGACAATAAGATAAAAACAAAATGTGAGAGGAAAAGAGGAAAGAGGATAGGAATAGGATGGGAGAGAATCCTACTCCGGCAGATATAGAGGACTTGTACTTTCAAAGGACAGTGTGTTATTCAAGTATTATACCCAATCTTTTATTTTTGTTACTAATGGTAGAAGAATAAATTGGTATTGAATTTATTTATGAAATTCAAATCTAAAACTTCTTATATACAAATAAACAAAAATATGATTAGATCGTGGTACTAAGTGTTGTGCAAGTATTATTACCCAATCTTGACCTCTTTGTTTTCTTACTAACCAAACACACCTTCCCTCGAGATCTTTTGATTCTTCTTTTGTTCCCAAATGTCCCATTGCATAAAGCTAAGATGCTGCTTCTAAATTGGACGCATGCGTTTGCTAATTATCTAAAGAAGAAAAGAAATTCACGAATTTGTTGCTAGGTCCCACCGTCCCAGTCAAATGTCCCCCCATTCCCACAGTCTCGTAGAGTTTTTCTCCCTTCCACCCTGACTTGGGGACTTTTTTTATTCAATCACGTGACATCTACTTGCTTTCTGGCTGTCGTAGCACGTGATTTTCTTTATTTTTCATGTTTTTACTTTCATTTTTTTTTTTTCACCTTTTACTTGATACATGAAATTGGTGTATCTCTAACATAGTCATTAGCGTGCATGAATGGATTTAATCAAGTTAGTTAGAGTAGTGTATTTCACTATTCATAATATGTGGTATAAAATATGGTATGAACAATCTTATTCATCTAAACCCATGTTCGAATTCCTTTTCATGACATTTAAATGAATATAATATAATTCAAAAATGTTACTCGTATCATAATTTTGCATATCATATTTGTACCACCTCTTTAATAAAGATGGACGTAATGCTAAGGAGACCAAATTTTTAGATTAAATTTGCAAATCAAATGATGCGTCACTAGGAAATACACACTTTAATTAACATTTAAGTAATAATCCAATCATTAACGTCCACATCATTTGACTTTAAAAAATTAAGAAATTTAGTTTCCCTAGTTTAAAAAATATGATAAATATATCATTACTCAATATAATTATTGTATCGTTTGTAAAAAAACAAGAGACACACAATCACTAGAGAGACAGATTTGAGGTGCTTCCAAGGAAGCAAATAGGGGATCTCTTTGATTATGCTTTAGGTGGTGTGCTTCATCTTTTCCAATCTTTCATATGTTCTGGTGGATACCACCTTCACATGGGCACCTTCTGTTGTCTCTCATGTGTGCACATTGTCTCATCATTTCCTATCTCCTTTGTTGAGATTCAGCCTAGTCCTTGTCCAACCAAACTTTTGACAATCATGGCAATAAGATCTTATGAATACGAAGATAAAGTAAATGAAATAAAAGAGATTAACTTGTCTTTATATGAATCTTTTTATTTTCACATGCTAACTAATGCCTAATCACACACTATGTTAGTCTTTTATTTTATGTCACATGATACAAAGATAAAGTGAACTCACATTACTGAAAAAGATATGGAAGAAGCTAGTTTTTTTTTTGGGTAATGGAGGGATTATTAGTTATCTTAATCATGAGTTAAACCAATATCAATATATCATGTGTATACTATGTTAGCTAGATTTATTGGTTTATCAATTTTCTGAAGGGTTTAAGCCATTTGAAAGTGGGATAAGTTGATTTCATATGAATGGTGCTATCTCCACACCTACTTTTACTTCACACATCGTTGTTAATTTCTGTCATTTAATTATCTTCAATTCATTCAATTCGACTATCAACATTAAGAGGTGTGTGTAGAACGTAAAATAGAGTGTGTGGACAGCACCACCCACTTAATATATGTTTTTAAATGGGAATAATTTTTATTGATAAATATGTTACTTCTATAATAATTAGCTTATGATTTGATAAGTACTAACCTTAGAGGATCGAAAAGTTTAATGTCTTGGGATCATTAACATTTTCTGTACCTTCTACATTTTCTGTAAGGTTTACCTAACTATTAGGTCCCCAATGTTGATGTGGAGTACATTGTCATTGTACTTTTGCTTAAACTCAAATTTCAGAGGAGAGGAAGATGGGGTTGGGGGGGGGGGGGGGGGGGGGGGGGGTGGTGGGGGTGGAGGAGGGAAGAAACTAAAAGAGAAAACAAAGAAGGCTTGTTTGGTGCTCAGAAGTTAGAATGGTTTGGATGGAATTTGATAACTAATAAGATTTAAGATATTTTGAAGCAAGAAACGACGGTAGAATTGTAGATATGAAGAATGTTTCATTCTAATTAATAGAGATTAAAGGGGGATAAGTATACGTCGTAGTACATTCTAGATATCATGTTATGGGGATTGAAAGTGATCTTGTACCTTCAACTTGCTCAAAAAAATTTCACTTCTTCGTTCTACATGTTTGGAATCCCATGACTGATCCAATCCACTCCGATCTTAAGCGCTAAACGAGTCCGTAGTGAATAGAGCAAGGTGGTTCGTGTCTTTTGAACCCATGGTTGCTGCAGATTATTTTGTAAATGTTTCAATTAGACAATATGCAACTAGGCAACTAAATGCTTAAATGGATAAAACTAGATTGGAAACGCCCAAAGATTCTCAAAATCTGATAGCTTAATAATGAACCCTAAAAGTCTTCCACTTTGTATGTAATTAATTTGGTGGACATAAACACACTTAATTAAGATGTGTGAACCTAATATTGCAAGGCGTTAAACCTTATATATATTAATGTAATGTACATATCAAACTTTAAGGGGAGGATCGATCTCAACCAACAAAGTGGATTAAGGGTCCCTCTCATAAATAATAAGTTGGAAAGGTGGTAAAGGGACCATCTAGCAAATCTTGATTACATCTCATCTGGAAATATATCATTATCCTAAAGCATCAATTCACATCTTTATAGTTCTTACTTCTCACCTTTCTACTTTTCCGCAGATAGAGGCCGTTCTCCAAATTGTTAATTCATGGCTTACCACCAAAACCTTCTTCTTTGTCATATTTTTCTGAAAATTTCTTAATTAAGAGAGGCTTGGAACCTCGTTAAGAACACAGAAAATCTCTTGGTGAGGTAATTTAGGGCAAAAAGTTGCATATGTAAGTACATAGTAACAAACTCGCGATTTTCACACTACCGTTTTATTCATTGGCACATTTTCTACTTTCATTTGCAAACCAACAAATTTAAAATATTCACCTAAAGTTGTACAAGGTTGGAGAATGTAAATTGAATGGATTTCACAAGGATTCCTATGCACATGTACGAGTAGAGGTGAGAGACTTAAACATGAGAGAAAAAATAATGGATGTCAGTGTGATGAAAATTCAAATTTGATAGAAATGTTCTCTTGCTCATCAAGTGAGCACAGAATGTATAGCCACTCACACTCATATTTGCTGATATCGAGAATAACGAATAGAGATGAGTATGTTTTTAATGTTCTAAATTTAAGCTTTGACATCAATTCAAAATTCAGTGGCCACGAATTTAGGTGAAAAATAAAACGAGACTCTTACACATGGGCGATGGCCCTTTGCATTCAAGTAAATGGACCCCTGTTCTGTTCTCGCACTTGGCACTTGGAATGAATTCTGTAAGTTTGGATGATGCAAATACAGTTGGCCACACACTCTTATTAGGTCAAATACACATGGAGTTGTTTGTCAGAAGACACATGTTCAGAAGACACATGGAGTACGTTTTTTATGTGGGTGGCTTTCTATTTATTCATTTTCTTTTTGGTTCTGATGTGTGGTCTAAGTTTTCGTGTGGAGCAAGACATTGTAGCAGAAGCTTCCTCTTTACTCTTTTCCCACCCCCACTTGTTAAACTTGTATTTCATTCGCTCAAAAATCGATGGGTAATGTACATACAGATTCACACTAATCTGTTGAATCACAAAGTATGAAATGATTAATGCGAAACTTAGAACACATTTAACAAGATGAGATTTTATATATTAACATGTCCCTTATAAAAATAAATGTTCTTAACCACTTGAACTATAAGCCTCTTGCAGAAGTGATTTAAAAATTAAAATATAATGATGTTAAACTTTTATGATTATCAATATTAAAACTTTTCCTAATGTTAATTGTTTACGAGTGGATAAACAACTGACCATAACTTAACTTATGTTAAATCAAGCCACATTCAATAAGAAATCGGTTGCTAGTTAGTGAGAGTATCATCAAAATTTTCTATACTTAGATGTAGGGCTTACTTAGATGGAACGTCTCTATAATACACACACACACACACACACTTATATACGAATCTACAAACACAGAAGGACCACACAGCCACCAGATGGGAGCCAAAAACAAAAGATGTACATGCATGGGGTTGGGTATAGGTCCCATGCAAGGGCAGTTGGGTTAGCAGTTAAAAGTCATAGAGAAAAAGGTGAAAATATAATATTTAGCAAGTATGATCCAGAAACCTAGAATTAGACAGCGCCATACGAATTGTAAATTACACAATACACAAGTAATTGGAGGCATTGAGGTGGAGCTGTTTGGTGGTGGCTGCAGACGCACGCTTTGGAGCTGTGGTGGAGTCAGTAGAGACTACTTATTGACTACCGTGGTTAAGCTAGCTCAGTTCTCACGCCCTAACGGAAGATAACAGGAAAAAGAAAAAAAAAAAAGAAAGAGAGAGAGAGAGACAGAGACAGAGAGATGAGGCAGCTTTAAAGCAAAGAAAATAGGGACAGCAACCGCCCCTATCCTCCTCCCGTTTACAAGCTTTGACCACCTTTGTCCTCCATGTACCACCAACACCACATTACTGTGTACAACAGCAGCATTCCATTCTTCCAACCCACACCTAGACCATATAATATTATCCGTCTGTATCTTTCAATCTACCCTTCCTTCTTATCTTTTTTAATGAATCGCAATTTTGTATAGACTGAGACAAAGTATATTTTTATAAATATTAAAAGGAACTATTTCCACCACATTTTATAGCAAGAATTCAGATTCACTACCACATGCAAAAAGTTGTTTTAATATCAAATAATTAAACCCTTTTGTATAATTAAGTTTAATACTAATTAAGTGAAAAGTTGAAGCAATTTGAACCTAAAATTTAAATTTGACAGCTTATGTGGCATTTTAACATATTTTTATATTTTTCTCTCCACCCTATGTATCAAATTAAACTATTATTTTATTACATTTGCTCTCCTCCGCCGACTCGCCTTCTAATCCCCTTATGCGCAAGCTCGAGGACGCCATCCACTGGATCATCGTCCGCCAATCCGTGCCCGATTGGCCCCCCTTTTGCCCGACGCCTCCTACTGGGTCCCTCCTCCACGGTCGAGATTGCACGGCTTGGCTCAACTGGTCGATAAGTTGGCCAAACCTTTGAGTGAGGAGGAGACCATGTCTATGAGCACCATTAGAGGGTGGCCTTCTTCTGCTTATTTTATCGAAGGTTTGCTTCCCTTTTTTCGATTTTATTAATTGGGTTCTGTTCAAAATTGGGTTTTTATCCTTCAATCAATTGAGATTGGATTGAATTGTGTGTTGTGGTTGATTTAATTGGATCATCTAATTCGTTTCTACATCTGGGTTTGTTTCTGAATTGTGTAATTTTCTCTCTCTAGGTGAGAATTGGAATATCAAAAATCAAAAATGTTTACAAATCGATCGTATTTTGAGGCATTGATCTTGTGTTGTTCTATGATGAAAGGTTGCTGGAATGATTAAGATAAAGGAATTAGTCTGGCTTTTTTTTTTTTTTTTTAATAAATGACATTAAAATATTAATAAAATACATTAAATAATTAGTAAAAAAATTTTGAAGCTACTGTCAAATTCGACAACAAGCCTCTTTGCTGCCATTTCATGTCATGCCACATAGGATTTGGCATTTTGGTTGGAAACAATTAATGGCTATCTTTTTTAACTGTTATAGCTTATGTGGACAATAAATTAGGTGTTGTGATCCACCAGGAATAGTTTTGTGCCCTTTTAGTAATCTGCAAGCATCGGGCGCTGCAGCTAAATTATTTTTTAATCGGGATTATGAAAAACCTAGAAAGTATAGAAGATAGAATCGTTTCAGGCGACGAAACAAATTCTACATTATTTCTCATTGATACATGAGTTTAGGGTAACCTTCGAATAAGTGTAATGATTTGATTTGTAAATTACGACACTAGTAGATGTTTAAATTTAGAGAAATGTTAAGGAGAGTCTCTCAAAGTGTAATTTTTAATAGATTCTCTGTCACTTCATAGTTTAATATCAATTTTCGTATTTACATGATAAAACACTGTGACAAAAATATAAAGTAACAAACAGTCCATAGAGAATTTCGCTTTTAAAAAAAATCTCAATAGCATTTGTGTTTGAGGAGTGAGCATATACCTTACAGTTGCGGTAACCATTACTCATATATTTATGTGTTGAAATTTATGGTTTCGGAATTGAGTAGCAATATATTTTGGGATAAACGATTCTTGGAAAATTAAATTTAATCTGGCTTGTGTTCCCTAACTTACCTAACACGCAGTGTCATATTGCATGCAGTTCCATTTTTATATACATGCGTGATGCTATGAGTTACCTAAACGTGATTCGCTTGATAAAATACACGAGAACAATCCAACAATTAAGTTACCTAATTCTTTTAACAAGTTTCGCATTAATCATGTAATTTTTAAGTGCTCAATAAAATGATACTTTTTTTTTTCAACAACCATAAAATGATAGTTTAACAACTATATATAAACTTATGATACTTGAAATGGGATTTGACCAAAAACAACAATGCCGATTAGCTGTGGCTGCTTGCACAACTTGGTCCGGTCGTGCCTAAACAACCGAATAAAAAAATAGATAATTAACATGATTAACAAACATTGTAAGAGAATCAATCTAACATTGTTTAATAAAAAATCACAATGCAAGTCGTTGCAAAAGTAAAGCAAGATTACCATGCCTACGGATATAGGTATTCAATCGATTTTTATGGTATTCAAGTGTTTTGTCACTAATATTACGAAATAATTATTAGATGGCTCCAAGTTAAATATATAAACTGTCTCTTACTCTGATGTTTCAATAGCAAATTAAAATATCATATTGGTGAAACTTCAATGTCACCAGTAATGGTACTTTTGCACTCGATCGGTTATGTTCTGCTTTTCATCAATGGGACTGCCATTATTTAGAGGAAATATTTTTGTTCATTACCCTTAAATTTGTGATGACAAAAGGAGGACGATGGTGATCTTGGGAGCTCGATTTGTCGAAGAATTTGAGGTTCTGGTTTTGTCTTCGTCGGAGAAGAAAGAGAGAGAAGAGAAAATTTACGGGAAGAGAGGAGTGAGAATGAGATAGAGTGAGGAGAGATTTTTCAGTGTGACCGTCACATAAGGTGGTACATTACGTGTCGTTATAAAAATGGTAGGATATGTGTGTTAAAAAGTTAAGAACTTAAAAAATAAAATTTCTTACCACTTACATAAAAACAAGTATGTACCACTCGTGTTCCTGTCACAACTAAAAATTTCTCTTAAAAAGCCAGAGAGGAGAGAAGCAACGGGAAAATGGAAAAGTGGGTCCTGTTGGCACGCAAACCAATGCAAACAAAAATACAAAGTGTACATAACGATT